AGTGCTTGAGAGACTGAGATTCCAGCCGTTTGTGGAGGAGGGGATCTACATCTGGCCGATCTGGGACAAGGGAAAGGCAGGCAGTCTGACATGCTTCCTAGCAGCGACAGGGTTGCTGAAGGGGCAGTGTCTGCACAGAGCTTGATGCGTGGGAAAAGGGAGAGCTGTACAAGTTTGTCTGAGTGTGCTCTGCCCAGAAGGTTGGGAATTTTGAGGAGCTTCAGGCACTCCATCCCCTGGCTGCCTACTTAGCTCTGAGGCCCCCCACTGTGACATGCAGCCTGCTGTGCCTTCCTCCTGGCCTGACAGCTCCAGCTTGCAAACTGGCAGTCACTGCATCGGCATCAGGCCAGCCAGAGGGAGGCCTCGCCTACAACAGCTAGAGACACCGAGCACAGAGGCTTACACCTGTGTGCTCAGCCCACTGGCTGTGATACTGGAGACAGGCACCGTAGATGGGAATCAGGAAATAGATCTTTCCTCCCTCAAGGCACCAGGTCCACTCCCCTATGACCCCCAACCTCATTCTAGGGGCTGAGCAGCTCCAGAGACTGGAGCTTCTGGGCATTAGTGGGCACCACACAGAAATACAAAATGTCAAAAGAACCTTGTTTAGACCAAAATCTCACAAACCCCAGATAAAGGGCCAAATGAAACTGAACTCACCCATCTCCTTGGAAGAGAGTTCAAAATAAAAATCATAAGCATGCTTATGGAGGTACAGAAAAATATTGAAGAACTCAGGAACGAATTTAAGTCAGAGATTCAATCATTCAGAAATTCCATATCTGAAATGAAACATACAATGGAGGGATTTAAAAGCAGACCAGATGTAGTAGAAGAGACAATAAATGGAATAGAAATTAGAGAAGAGGAATACAAAGAAGCTGAGGCACAGAGAAAAAAAGAATATCTAAGAATGAAAGAATATTGAGAGGACTGTGTGAACAATCCAAAAGAAATAATAGTCGCATTATAGACATACCAGAAGAAGAAGAGAGAAAAAGGGACAGAAAGTGTCATTGAGGAGGTAATTGCTGAAAATTTCCCCAATCTGGGGAAGGAGATAGTCTCTCAAGCCATGGAGGTACACAGATCTCCCAACACCAGGGACCCAAGGAAGACAACACCAAGATATATAATAATTAAAATGGCAAAGATCAAGGATAAGGACAGACTTTTAAGACCAGCCAGAGAAAGAAAAATGATCACATACAAAGGAAAACCCATCAGGCTATCATCAGATTTCTCAACAGAAACCTTAGAGGCCAGAAGGGAGTGGCATGATATATTTAATGCAATGAAGCAGAAGGGCCTTGAACCAAGCAAGGTTATCATTTAAATTTGAAGGAGGGATTAAAAAATTTTCAGATAAGCAAAAGCTGAGAGAATTTACCTCCCACAAACCACATCTACAGTGCATTTACGAGGGACACCTATAGATGGAAGTATTCCTAAAGCTAAATAGATGTCACCCAAGGGATAGACAAAGTACAGAGTATGATTCATAACATACAAAGAATGGAGGAGGAAGAAAAAGAAAAAGGAGGGGAAAGAAAAGAACATTTAGGTTGTGTTTGTAATAGCACATGAAGTGAGTTAAATTAGACTGTTAGATAGTAAGGGAATTACCCTTGAACCTTTGGTAACCACAAATCTAAAGCTTGCAATGGCAATACATACATAACTATCGATAATCACCCTAAATGTAAATGGTCTAAAGGCACCAATCAAAAAGAGTCACTGAATGGATAAAAAAGCAAAACCCATCTACATGCTGACCATAAGAGACTCACTTTAAACCCAAATACATACACAGACAGAAAGTAAAGGAATGGAAAAGGATGTTTCTTGCAACTAATAGGGAGAAAAAAGCAGGAGTTGCAGTACTTGTATCAGACAAAATAGACTTCAAAACAAAGAAAGTAAGAGATAAAGAAGGACATCACATAATGATAAAAGGGTCAGTCCAACAAGAGGATATAACCATTATAAATATATCTGCACCCAACACTGGAACATCTCCATATGTGAAACAAATACTAACAGAATTAAAGGGTGAAATAGAATGCAATGCATTCATTTTAGGAGACATCAACACACCACTCACTCCAAAGGACACATCAACCAGACAGAAGATAAGGACACAGAGGCACTGAACAACATACTAGAACAGATGGACCTAACTGACATCTATAGAACACTTCATCCAAAAGCAAGAAGATACACATTCTTCTCAGGTCCACATGGAACATTTTCAAGAATAGATCATATACTAGGCCACAAAAAGAACCTCAGTAAATTCAAAAAGACTGAAATTGTAGCAAGAAGCTAATCAGATCACAAAGGTATGAAACTAGAAATAAATTCACAAAGAAAATGAAAAAGCCCACAAACATATGGAGGTTTAATAACATGTTCCTAAGTAATCAATCAATGACCAAATAAAAACAGAGATCAAGCAATATATGAATACAAATGACAATAATTCAACACCACAATATCTGTGGGATGCAGCAAAAGCCATGCTAAGAGGGAAATATATTGCAATACACGCCTACGTCAGGAAAGAAGAATCCCAAATGAACAGTCTAAACTCACAATTAATGAAACTAGAAAAGGAAGAACAAATGAGGCCCAAAATCAGTAGAAGGAGGAACATAATCAAAATTAAAGCAGAAATAAATAAAATCGAGAAGAATAAAACAATAGAAAGAATCAATGAAAGTAAGAGCAAGGGAAGCAAAAGCAAAAATGAACAAGTGGGACTACATCAAAGTAAAAAGCTTCTGAACAGCAAAGGACACCATCAGTAGAACAAAAAGACATCCTACAGTATGGGAAAATATATTCATAAATGACATATCTGATAATGGGCTGACATCCAAATTATATAAAGAGCTCATGCACCTCAACAAAAAAAAAAATAAGTCAATTAAAAAATGAGCAGAGGATCTGAACAGACACTTCTCCAAAGAAATTCAGATGGCCAACAGGCACATGAAAAGATGCTCCACATCCCTAATCATCAGAAAAATGCAAATTAAAACCACAATGAAGTATCACCTCACACCAATTAGGATGGCCACCATCCAAAAGACAAAAAACAACAAATGTTGCTGAGTATGTGAAGAAAGGGGAACCCTCCCACACTGCTGGTGGAAATATAAAATAGTTCAACCATTGTGGAAAGCAGTATGGAGGTTCTTCAAAATACTAAAAATAGAAATACCATTCAACCCAGCAATTCTACTTCCAGGTATTTACCCAAGGAAAGCAAATACCTGATTTGAAAAGATTTATGTACCCATATGATCATTATTGCATTACTTACAATAGCCAAGCAACTTGTGTTGAATGGAGAAAGAAGAGATGGTACATATACACAATGGACTATTATTCAGCCATAAAAAATAAATCCTGCCATTTGCAACCACATTTATGGATTTTGAGGGTATTATACAGTGAAATAAGCCAGGTGGAGAAGGACAAATTCCATATGATTTCACTTACTTGTTGAATATAAATACAAAGCAAACAAAAATGAACAAACCAGCAGTAGATTCATAAGCACTGAGTTGTGACTGGTAATTACTATGGGAGAGGGGGTGGGGTGGATGGGTGGGAAGTATGAGGGAGATAAAGGTGCACAAAGATTCTCAATCATAATTTAGGTTTGTAATGGGGATAGCCGTACAGCATGGAGAATATAGTTAATGATTCTGTAACATCTTTCTATGTTGACAAATAGTAGCTGTACTAGTGAGGGTGAGGGTTTAATATGGGCAACTGTTGAACCAAGTGTTGTGTACTCAAAACTAATGTAAGATTGTACTTCTGTACTTTAAAAGACAAAATCAAAGAACTAAATAAATGGAGAGATGTTCCATGTTTATGGACGGGTAGACTAAATACTATCAAAATGTTAGTTCTTCCCAAATTGGTTTATAGATTCAGTGCAATCACAATCAAAATCCTGGAAACGTATTTTGTGGATATTGAGAAATGGATTCCAAAGTTTATATGGAAAAGCAAAATACTCAGAATAGCCAACATGAAGTTGAAGAAGAAAATTAGAAGGCTGATACTACCTGTCTTCTAAAGTGATAGTATTTAACAGTATGGTATTGTCAATAGAATAGACAAATTAATCAATGCAACAGAATAGAAAGCCCAGAAATAGACCACATAATTATAGTGAAGTGATCTTTGACAAAGGACAAATGATAATGCAATGGAGCAAGAAAATCTCAACAAATGGTGCCAGAAAAATTGGACATCCACATGTACAGAAATGATTCTAGACACAGTCTTTACACTCACAAAGGTTAACTCAGAACAGCACAGACCTAAGTGTAAAATGCAGGACTGTAATACTCTTAGAATATTATATAGGATAAAACCTAGGTGACCTTGTTTCTGATGATGACTTTTTATATATAAGACCAAAGGCATGATGTATAAAATAACTGATAACCTGGACATACTAAATTAAAAACTTCTGCTCTACAAAAGACAATGCTAAGAGAATGAGAAGACAAGCCACAGCCTAGGGAGAAATATTTGTAAAGGACACATTGGATAAAGAACAATTATTTAAAACATATAAAGAATTCTTAGAACTTGGTAATAAAACATCCTGATTAAAAATGAGTCAAATACCTTAAGAAACACATCACCTAAGATGATATACACATTGCAATGAAGCATATGAAAAAATGACCATATGATATGTTATCAGGGAAATACAAATTCAAGCAACAATGAGATACCACTACACACCTATTAGAATGACCAAAATCCAGAACACTGATAATAGCTAATGTTGGCTAGCATATGGAACAACAGGAATTCTCATTCATTGCTGGTTTCAATGCAAAATGGTACAGCCACGTTGGTAGAAAGCTGGGGATTTCTTACAAAACTAAGTGAACTCTTAACCATGAGTCAGTCCAACAGTCATGTCCCAAAGTACTGAAAAACATGTCTACACAAAAATATGCACATGGATGTTTATAGCAAGTTTATTCATAACTACCAAAACTTTGAATAAATCAAAATGTCTTTCAGTAGATGAATACATTTATAAACTGTGGTATAATCATACAATGGAATATTATGCAGGACTAAAAACATAAGCTATCATCATGAAACTTAAATGCATATTGCTAAGTGAAAAGAGCCAGTCTACATAGTTCACATGCTGTATAACTCCGACTACATGATATTCGGGGTAAAGCAAAACTATGAAGATCAGTGGTTGCCAGGAGCTGGGGGAGTGGAGAGGAGGGATGAACAGGCAGAGCACAGAGGATTTTTAGCACAGTTAAAATACAAGCCACAGCCTAGGGAGAAATATTTGTAAAGGACACATGTACAATATTATAATGATGCAATATTATATGTACAATATTATAATGATGCACACATATCATTATACATTTGTCCCCATCCATAGAATGTAAAACACCAAAGATGAATCCTAATTTAAGCAATAGATGTTGGGTAAATATAATGGGTCAATGTAGGTTCATCAATAGCAGCAAATATGCCAATCAGGTGGGTGGTGTTGATAATGGGAGAGTCTACACATGTGTGGGGGCAGGGAACCCATGGGAACTCTGTGATTTACACTTAGTTTTTCTGTGAACCTAAAACTGCTCTAAAAATATATTCTATAAATTAAAAATAAATTTAAGAGGAAGGGAATCCTATCACATACTATGGCATGAATGAACCTTGAGGACATTATGCTAAATGGACTATACCAACCACAGAAAGACAAATATCATGTAGTTCTACTTATATGCAGTGTCTAGAGTAGTCAAACTCATAGAAACAGAAAATGGTATAGTGTCTGTCACTGGCTGGGGGTAGAGGGAAATGAAGAGTTGTTTAATGTGTATACAATTTTTATTTTGCAAGCTTAAGACTTCTGGAGATTGGTGGTGCAATATAAAAATACTTAGCACTACTAAACTGTGTAGTTAGAAATGCTTAAGACAGTAAATTTTAGGTTGGCAATATTTTACCACAATTAAAATAGGAAGGAAATTCTGGTACATTGCTACAACATGGATGAAGCTTGAAGATGTTATGCTAAATGAAATAAGCTATACACAAAAAGAAAAATATTGTATGATTCCACTAATATAAGGTATTCAGAGTAGTTAAATTCATAGAAACAGAAAGTAGAATGGTGGTGTTCAGGAGCTGGGAGGAGGGAGGAAAAAGAACTTATTGTTTACTGGGTACTAACTTTCAATTTTGGATGATGATTTTCTGGAGATGAAAGGGGGTGATGGTTGCACATTAAGCATATGTGAATGTGCATTTAAAATGGCTAAAATGGTAAATCAAATGTATATTTTACTGCAAAAGAAACCTTTGCTTATAAAGTCTAAATTCTGTAATAAAATTCACATACCTCTTTATGATCTCTGCCTATCTTTCCTGGCTAATCTCTCACCACTCCATCGACTATTTTAGTTAAACTGTCTTTTAGCCAAATAGACAATGTTTTCTTGCCTTTGGGCTTTCACACTCTCATTCTGATTGATACCCTCTTTCCCCTTCTCCTTTTGTAATTACTAATTGTCACTCTTCAGTTTATAGCGGACATGTTACTTTTTAATCTTCCCTATGTCCTTTCCTTTTGGGAATTGTCCTTCCCTGATTCAGTATCTAACTCTGGTGAAACTGTCAGTCAAGGACCTCACCTTCCTTTTTTTAGTAGTGGGCATGTAATCTTATATTGGTCAATCAGAGCACCCACTCTGCTGGATATATTCATTCATAAATTGGTTTATGACCCAAGAGAGTCACATAATACTTGTTGAGCTATTGATATGGGGAGCTGGAAAAGAGACTGTGTGTTTTTCTGAGTGATCTTAATGCAATGTATGCCTGAGAGTGCTGGCTGCCATCCTTCTCAATATGAAGAGAGCCCGGTTGAAAATGAAGCAAAGGAATGAAATGAGAGATGTAGAGCGATTTCTGAAGAAAATCAGTTCTGCCCTCTCTATTAGATTGTAAGCTACATTGACTGCTACCTTACTAGCCATTATATTCCCAGTACTTGGTAGAGTACTTGGTAGAGCACTTGGCACATCATCCATATTTAATCAGTACATTTTGAAACATTGAATTATTGTTATCCATGGGATTATGCCCTTTCCACATTAACGTATTCACCAGTTCCCTTCTAATAATTTGATGTCTTTCAATTAGTTTATGGTATGAGTATGGAGATTGAATTATTTTTTCCATATGATCAGCCAGATGTTCTTAACACATTTTAATGAGTGACTCAGCCCTTCCCCACTAATCTGAAATGCCACCTTTAAATTCTTATATAAGCCGGTGACCATTTCTGGGCTTTATATCCTGTTACGCTGACTTGCATATTTCTATGCCAGTAATACATTGTTTTAATTATTGTATCTTTACTATATTATTTAATATACATAAAGATCTCCTCCAAATTAGCTTTTCTTTCTCTAATTAATGAACAATTCATGAACTATGTGAAATATTGAAAGTTGACTGAAGTTTTCCCATTCTCCTTGTACTGTCGTCACCATATTTTTATTGTTTTAATTAAGATAACCTATTTAATACAGAATACTTTAGAAGTAGAAAATTACAAGAACAAGTACACCAACCATCTTGACCAGAAAAACAGTGAACATGTGGAAAAATAAGTACTATCATGAACATATACATAGATACCATAGAAAAATTGAAAGTGAAGTGAAGAGAATGTACTGGGAACTTAATTTTCTTTCAGATTTTACCCCTCAAACTCTCCTCCCACTTTCCTGATATATTCTCACTACAAAGAATGAGTGGATCACCATTTGCAGGAGGAAGGTCATATTTTGACACCAATTTTAGTAATATTTTATATTTAGATTATGAAACATACTGAAAATTCAGTTTACTAGATAGTAGTCATATAGAACTAACACAAAAAATGAAAGAAAAAATTTATTGTGACCTTAATGGATTTATAGAAATTCAAAATTATGCAGCAAGGGCTGTGCCACCAAAACAGAGCATTGACTGGCTGCTGCAGGACCATCTCACAGGTATTATTTGCTTTGGTGGGTTCACCATGATCCAGGCCATGGCCTTCAATCTTAAATGTCTACAGCCTGATCTTGGTTATGTCCCAGAATTCATCCAAATTCAGGAGATGAAATTATGCTGATCATATCATAAGACTGAAAGAAATAAAAAAAGAAGGGCAATTTATTAATTTATACTGAGAAATGCAATTATCATACAGATCAGATATGTCTGTTGAGATAATAAAACCATATTTTCCCTTCTAGGAAGATTAAAAGGGAAGGAAAATAATTACAGCATATTTTCATAAACATTAAATCAAAGTGACAGGATGCTAACTGGCATCTTGCTTTAAACCTGATCTATTTGCTTACATAATGAACATTTATTTGTCACACAAACCAGATGTTTCCATTGCCCTAGGCATTTTTTCCATGAAAAAAGTGGTAGGATGTCTACCTCTATGTTTCTTGTTTTTGTAGGCTTCCATAACTGATCAACTGGCCCCATTCTGTCCTCATTACCCATCAACACATTCTTATATTCTTTAGAAAAAAATCTCTATTTATTTACACAGATAATACATAAATATATCGAACTGTATATAATCCAACCAACATAAACAAAATTAGTCTTGCCATTAAACTTTTGCCTTTCTTCAGCCCTGTATACCCAGAAGAAAACACCAGTATTGGTTCTTTATAGGGCTTTTTCTATGCACTTAAACATATATACAGATAGTACTTATAGTAATACAAAGTTTTAGGTAAGAGGTTTTGAATACAAATTAGGTCATACCAAACATACTATCCTGCAACTTGTTCTAATCCACTTAATAATATGTCTAAATGATTTTCAGTATCAAAATAGATCTATCAGTATATTTCAACCGCCTCATGATGTTACATTGCATGACAGAATAATTTACTCAGTCCCATTAAAAGACATTTAGTATTTTTGCAACTTTATAACAATTAAGGAAGAGTATTTTTTCATATGTAGGAGCATTTCCATAGGTTCTAAAAATGAAATAAGCAGCAAAGAGCACATATTTTAAATTTTTGATACTGATAAAATTCTATAAAAGTTAAGGACCTCACAGACAGTGTATATTTCACCACATCCTGTCTAATTTAAGATAATGGAGATTTCATTAAAGCAAATATGATGGGCTAAAAATTTTATGTCAAATTGTACTATATTTTCATGATTAATAATGAGGCCAACTTAATTATTTTGATGGGATCTTATTTTATATTGAACTATAGTTGATATACAATATTATATTGGTATTAAGTGTACAACATAGTGATTTGACAGTTATCTACAGTATTAAATGCTCACCCCAATCTGTATACTTACTGACAACACAGAAAGATATTAAATTACTTTTGAATATATGCCCTATGCTCTACATTCATATCTATGAACAATTTATACCATAACAGATTTTATGCCTTGTCCTCCCTTTCACTTATTTAACACACACACCCCAACCCCTACCCCATGGTAACCACCAGTTACTTCTCAGTGTCTATGAGTCTATTGCTGCTCTGTTTGTTTTGTTTAGATTCCATATATAAATGAAGTCATATGGTATTGTCTTTCTCTGCCGGGCTTACTTCTTTTAGCATAATACCCTTTAGGTCCATCCATGTGGCTGCAAAGGGCAAGATTTCTTTCATTTTTATGGTTGAATAATATTCCACTGCATATATGTACACATCTTCTGTATCTAGCCATCTATTGATAGACACCTTGGTTGCTTCTCTATCTTGGCTATTGTAAATAATATGGCAATAAAGATAGGAGTGCTTGTATCTTTTTCAATCAGTGATTTAGTTGTCTTCAGGAAAATTCTCAGAAGTGGAATTATTGGGTTGTATGGTATTTCTAGTTTTAGCTTTATGAGTAACTTCCATATTGCTTTCTATAGTGGTTACATCATTTTACATTCCAACCGAGAGTGTAGGAGGGTTCTCTTTTCTCCACATCCTCACCAACACTTGTTTCTTGTCTTTTGGAGTGGCCATTCTGACCCGTATGAATGACATCCCATTGTTGTTTTTATTTACTTTTCCCTGATGATTAGTGATGTTGAGCATCTTTTCATGTGCCTGTTTTCCATCTGCACGTCTTTCAAAAAATGTCTATTCAGGTACTCTGCCCATTTTGTAATTGGGATTTTTCTTGGTGTTGAGTCTTATGAGTCCCTTATATATTGTGGATATTAGCCCCTTATCAGATACATCATTTGCAAATATATTCTGCCACACAATACATACCTTTTTATTTTCTTGATAGTTTCCTATGCTGTACAGAATTTTTATAATTTCATGTGTCCCACTTATTTTTGTTTTTCTTTTCCTTAAACTGGAAGACATGTACAGGAAGAAGTCAACTCACAGCTTATGTTCAAGAGATTCCTACCTATGATTTCCTCTAACACTGTCATGGTTTCATGACTTACACTTAGTTTTCTAATCCATTTCAACTTTACTTTTCTGTATGGTGTAAGACAGTGATCCAGTTTCATTCTCTTGCACATAGATGTCTAGTTCTACCAAAGCATTTATTGATGAGACTGTAGGTAAGCATGACATCCCCAACTTTGTTCTCTCTCAAAATTGCTTTGGATATTCAGGGTCTCTTGTGGTTCCATATACATTTTAGGATTATTTGCTCTAGGTCATTGGAAAAAAATCACTGGTATTTTGACGGGGATTGCAATGGAATATGTAAATTGCTTTGGAAAGGATGGCCATTTTGACAATATTAATTCTATCTATGAGCATGGATACCTTTCCATTTATTTGTGTCTTCTTCAGTTTCTTTCATCAGTGTTTTACAGTTTTCAGAGTATAAGTCTTTCACCTCTTCGTTAGGTTTATTCCTAGGCACTTTATTCTTTTCTTCGCAATTGAAAATGGATTTTTCTTTATTTCTTCTTGCTAGTTAATTATTAGTATATTGAAATGCAACAGATTTCTGTGTGTTGGTTTTGTATCCTGCAACTCTACTGAAACCACTTATTCTAATAGCTTCTTGGTGGAATCTTTAGGGTTTTCTATATATAGCATCATGTCATCTGCAAATAATGACAGTTTTAATTCTCCCTACCAATTACAATGTCTCATTTCTTTGTGTTATCTGATTGCTGTGGCTAGGACTTCCAGTACTATGTTGAATAACTGTGGTGAGAGTGTGCATCCTTGTCTTGTTCCTGATCTTAGAGAAAAAGGTTTCAGATTTACACTGTTGAGAATAACATTAGCTGTGGGTTTGTCATATATGGCATTTATTAGGTTGAGTTATGTTCAGTGTATAACAACATTGTTGAGACTTTTTATCATGAATGGATGTTGAATTTTGTCAAATACTTTTCAGCATCTGTTGAGATGATATAGTTTTTATCTTTCCGTTTGTTAATGTGGTGTATCATATTGATTTGCTGATATGTTAGCATCCTTGTATCCCTAGAATAAATCCCACATGGTCATGATGAATAATCCTTTGATGTATTTTTGAATTTGGTTTCCTAATACTCTGTTGAAGATATCTGCATCTATGTCTATCAGGGATATTGTGCTGCCATTTTCTTTTTTTGTAATGTGTTTGTCTAGTTTTGATACTTCAGTAATTCTGGTCTCCTAGAATGAGCTTGAAAGTATTCTCTCCTCTTTTATTTTTTGGAACACTTCAAGAAGAATAGGTATTATATCATATATAAACATTTGGAGTAATTTATAATGCTATATGGTCCTACACTTTTTTGTTGAGAGCTTTTTGATTACCAACTCAATTTCATTACTGGTAATTGGCCTGTTCACATTTTCTGTTACTTGCTAGGTCAGTCTTGAAAGATTATTTTTCTAGGAATTTATTATTTCTTGTCCAACTTAATGGGTACAATTTTTGTAGAAATCTCTCATAATTCTTTGAATTTTTGTGGTGCCACTTTTTCACTTCTGATTTTGTTTAATGGTGTTCTCTCTTGATAAGTCTGGCTAGGGGTTTGCCTATTTTGTTTATCTTTTGAATTACAAGTTTTGGTCTGTTGACTTTTTCTATTTTTGTCTATTTTATTTCTGCTTTGCTCTTTACTATGTCCCTACTAACTTTGGACTCTTCTTTTTTTCCTAGTTCCTTTAGTTGTAAGGTTAGATAGTTTATTTGTGACTGTATTTTTTCATGAGGTAGGCCTATATTTGTATGACCTTCAATCTTAGAACTTTTGCTGCATCCCATGTATTTTGAAGCACTGTATTTCTGTTTTAATTTATTTCTATGTGCTTGATTTCCTCTTTGATCTGTTTCTTGATCCCTGATTTAGAAGTATGTTGTTTAGCCTCTTTCTGTTTGAGCTATTTCCAGTTCTATTCTTGTAATTGATTTCTAGTTTCATACCACTGTGGTCTGAAAAGATGTTTGATAAATTTCAATCTTCTTAAATTTATTGAGACTTGTCTTGTATCCTATTATGTTATCTATTCTTGAGAACACTCCATGTGCACTTTGGAGCATATTTTGTTGCTTTTTGGTGGCATGTTCTGCATATATGTTGGGTCCATAAGTATAGCTACTCCTGTTTTTTTCTCTTGTATTTGCTTGGACTATCTTTTTCCATCCCTTCACTTTCAGTCTATATGTGTCTTTAGATCTGAAGTGAGTCCCTTGTAGGCAGCATACTGATTAGTCTTATTTCTCTATCCATTCAGCCATATTATGTTTTGATTGATGCATTTAGTCCACTTACATGTAGTGCAATTATTGCCATTTTGTTGACTGTTTTCTGGTTGTTCTTGTAGTTCCTCTCCATTCCTTTCTTCCTATCTTGCTCTCACCCCTTATGATTTGATGATTTTCTTTGGTGTTATGCTTGGATTGATTTTTTTTATCTTTTGTGTATCTATTGTAGGCATTAGATTTGCGGTTACCATAAGGTTCATATATAGCTTCCTATGTATTTAAAACAATCTATATTAACTTGATGGCTACATGATTTCAAACAGTGTAAAAGTACTAAATCTTTCTTATTCCTCCTCATTTTATATATATGATGTCATAACCTTCATGTTTTTATTTTGTGTATCCCTTGGATAATTTTGTGTATATTTCATTTTATTACTTATTTTGAACTTTATAATCACCCTAC